GACCAGTCAGTGTGCTACTTTTATCTTCCTACTACACACACACACACACACACACACACACACATATATATATATATATATATATATATATATATATATATATATATATATGGGGGTGCGTGAGCGCGTGAGTGATGGATAAAGATTCGCCATTTTATATTTTTAATTTCGTGATCTCATGCTGTAAAGTATAGTGAGAGCACGTGGGCACTCTCTGAGAGAAAAAGGAGCACCTTGGCGCAATTCATTCCACCAGAAATTTGGAATCGTACTGCTTGGCGTTCGAACAGGAAGCTCCAATACAAACATTTCAGATTGTTTGGATATCAATCTGAAGACAGTTCACAAAGTTTAGAAAGAGTTAGCTGAGGCTCGGAAAAATCACCTTGATCCTTTGGTTAAGAACTCCCGAATGTTTTGATAAGATGGTCAGACTCATAACGGAGGCCTACTTGAGGAAGTAGTGCTGCCCTGGGTCAAGATGGTGGCTGCTGGATGACCCTGGGTCTTGCCACTATGAATCAGCACCAGGCCCCACATGCAGGAGAACCCAGTCATAATTGTCAGACAATTTATGCGACCACATCACCCCTAATATCTGGCCACTTCACTCCCCAGAGAGCAACCCACTTGATTATGTGTGATCTGCAGTTGGGCGAGGGACCAACAAAACTCTTTGTAACACTAAAGATGAACTGAATGCAAGGATTATGGCCGCATTCACGAACGACGTTGACTGGAGGCCGTCGTTGCAGCCAATGGTGATTTTATTGAATAAATTTACTCTTTACTGTTTCAAGATATGTTTGTGTAATTTTGGTAAATGCATCCGTTAAAATGAAATGTCAGTAATAAATTCATATATAAGTTATTTTAATTTATCTAATCATTACTAATGGTCTATCGTTCGTTTTACACACACATATTGTGTATATTTAGACAGTAAGTTTTCATTGATGCATGTTACATTAAATAATATAGACAAGTTTTGTCTATTTATTTTAAGTAAGTTCCTTTCATATTGTCTGATAAAATTAATTTAATGAAATTTAAATATGTATCAATATAAAATCATCATATTGATACATGTTTAAATCCAATCTAAGCTTTTAGGCATTTAAAACATGCCTGGCCGGATATACAATTCCGGAAAATCCTTGTTGACAACACCACTATACTTAAACATGAAAACAATAAACAAAAACTAAAAATTCTTGAAACTTTATACATAAAACAGTTGAAACCTAACCTTAACAAAATAAACTACGAAATCTCCACAAATATTCTTAAATTCCTATAACTGATAACAGAAGCCATTGGTTTATACCAACAGCTTCCCATACTTAATACTTCTCGTTTTCACTCTCGCGTGATCATGTGTGACGTCACGAGCTGCGACGCGATTTTCGCTTCCGCGTCTGGTATACACGAGTCGTTGCTTTGAAATTTTTCATGCAACAAAAACAGACTATCATTATTTTTTCGTCCGTGTATTGGCTGATATATTGAAAAATAATTGTCATCTTTGATAATGGCTTATGTCAGCCGAAAGCTTAGATTGGATTTAAACATGTATCAATATGGTGATTTCCTTTCGTCTTTCCATGATAATGTTATTAATCTTTTCAGACAATATGAAAGGAACTTATTTAAAATAGACAAAACTTGTCTATATCATTTAATGAAACATTCATCAGTATATATATATATATATATATATATATATATATATATATATATATATATATTGTCGCAGCTCTTCAATGTAACGAGCCGGTCGATTGTTTCAAACCGGGATCAAAACCCAACCGATTTTGCATCAGTCAGAGATCCTACCCCTAGGCTATTGTCGCACGGCCGAGTGAAAGACAATGTTTTAAAAATTAGCCTTTTCTCAAGAGAACTGAAACGGATTTCCCGAGAGCATATATATTTTGGATATATAGTTCAGGTAATAGATCCATTGGTATATGGTCCTTGTGGATCCTAGTAATATCAAATATTAAAAGTGATCAACAAAGGGAACTCAATGTATTTATTATAACAGTGCCTATGAATTACACGGCAAAAAATCCTAAATTACCTCATAAGGGTATAGCCTATTTCAAGCAGAGCAAACAGAGATCTTACCTTATTCCTTGTTACTGTCCACCCCACCCACAATGTTGAATATATAATGGTGATTAACTTCATCAATTCCCCCCTATTCTCCATATTAATCCTGTCTTATAACAACCCCCTTATTTACGCAACCCCGTTTAATGTAATTCTTTAGGGTTGGTTTTCCTAGTAATTTAACCTATCCTTAAAGTTATAAATGGGTAATTATTGTAATTTTAAATTATTTTGTCTTCAAATCCACCTTTCCTTAATAATACAAAACCCTTAAATCTATTCTTTCTTTATATTAATAGTCTATTTATTTCTTTTTTTAAGCATTCCACCCCAAGCAAGGTGGGAAACCACAGGCACGCAAGGGTTTCAAAGAGTCTGAGCGAGAACAAAGAGGAGTGATAGCGGACAGGATAAAGAGAAGGTTAGGGGATAGATCAAGACATCTGGTGACGTCGATTGATATTACATTTGAATAGTTAGAGATTATAGCTATCAGGAAAACAAGAAATGGGGAGAGAGTTCCACAGGCGAGAAGTGCGAGACATGAAGCTATTGGAGTAAAAGAGACGGCTACATTTAAGAGTTTCGACAGTGAAATACGATTTAATGTTTATATACATATTTGAAATAGGATATAATGTTTAAATACATATTTGTTTTTAGTATAATTTGGCATTCCCTAACGGAAACCTAAATTGCTGTATATATGATTAAAAGGTTTTGGTTATAAATAAACTCCCCTTTCTGACCTTCTTTTAGTTTCAATTCGACACCCCACTCTTCATATAATCCCAAGTTAGAATCATAAGGTTAATATTGGAGCTAATTCCAGCAGACATCTTCCGTTTTTAGAGAGATACCTCCCGTACTCCCTTTACTACCAACTCGAGTTTTTTATCTAGCAGAGGCGTCATTTTGGGTATATTCGGTAATTTCTCCTCAACTGCTATCTAGATTAAATACTAAATTCTTGATCCCGAGAGAAATTCAGTCTAGGGTTGAAGAAGACTAGCGCAAGGTTTCGCTGGTTGAAATAGGCTATACCAACATGAGTTAATTTGGGATTTGTTGCTGTGATATATATATATATATATATATATATATATATATATATATATATATATATATATATATATATATATATATATAGAGAGAGAGAGAGAGAAAAGAGAGAGAGAGATGTTAGGGTAATTTGGTATGATTTAAGTAGGAGCCTATATTCCTTTATATTTTAAACTCCAATTTCAACATCTCATTCTTCATGTAAACCCAACTTAAGGTCATAAGGTTAATATCCGGGTTGAATTTGTGGAGCCTCTTCCCTTTAAAACAGATAACTGCCACCCTCCCATTACCACCGACTCGGGCATTTCGTCTGACTGAGGCGTCGATATGGATAGGGTCTGTATCAATTTATCGACTGCTGTCAAAATTAAATTTAAATCTCTAATTTTGACAGGAACACATTCCATCTACCGGGGTTGAATAAGACGTACTTCGTGTTGGCTGCAATATATATATATATATATATATATATATATATATATATATATATATATATATGTGTGTGTGTGTGTGTGTGTGTGTGTGTGTGTTTATAACAATGTGAACATAGAAATCAATTCTCTTATTTTCAAGCTTTAATGAATCATGAGATAATTTTTAAAACTACAATTGTTCTATGCCATTTAGTGTACTCTCACGCAAGAATAAATATCTTAAACGTAAAAATACATATATATAGACAAATATATATGCATATCTACACTTTAAATAAATATATATATATATATATATATATATATATATATATGCATGCTACACATTCCCCCATATATATATATATATATATATATATATATATATATATATATATATATATATATATATATATATATATACATGGTATCAAATGATAATTTTGCCGCCGCGTTTCGTCTTCCGACTTTTTCAAGGCAAAAATGAAATCGAAATGTTTTTTGTTGTTATAGTTACATTAAAAATCCAAATTTAAATAAAATAGACGCTTGTGTCTGAGTCTTTTTTGTGGTTAATGTAAATTGCGTTTATAGTAAGAGATGATTATTATTATTATTATTATTATTATTATTATTATTATTATTATTTCAATTGTCATTTGATACCAATCTGTCTTATCCACAAAATTCATCTGGGAATTTAAATATATATATATATATATATATATATATATATATATATATATATATATATATATATATACAGAGACAGAGAGAGAGAGAGAGATTATTCGATTTATATGTAAGAACCACTGAAGATATCAAAATACGTAAGTAGAAAATAATGCGAAGGATAAGACCGACGGATTGTCAATGTCGATAGATGCCTTAGATAGATAGATAGATAGATAGATAGATAGATAGATAGATAGATAGATAGATAGATAGATACTAAGAAATATCGATAAATCGCGTCCAAGTCAGTATACCGAGATAAAATAAGAATGATTTACTCAAAAGAAGAAATAACGAAATTCTTATCTAGGAATTGTAAGACTGGAGAAAAGAGATAGCCGACCAAAAACAAATAGCCGGTCAAAATAGAGTTACAAATAATTATTGATTGGATCAAATAAGTTTGTCTAATTTACCGTTTCCTTCCCTAGCGGAATATGTCCCATCAACACATTTTCTTCATTCTTCTACGCCTCTAGTCCTACAACGCAATCATTTTTATCTTTTCTGTCTCTACTTTCTCCTTCCTATATCCCCGAACCTACACCCCCACCGTCGACATCTTTTCGTATTATGTCCAGATTTATTTTTCGCTTCTAATGTTTTTTCTTCCTATTTTGTTTTTCTATTTGTCTTTATTTGCTTTCTTCGGTTCTGGCTCTTTTTCGTCCGATGCATTTTTTTTTCTCACATTTTATTTTGAGCCAGTTAACCCACAAACGATGGCCGCCATTCACTTCTCTTTCCACCTCCCCACCCACCGCGTTTGACGTTTTCTTTTCTTTCGTCAACATATTTCTTGTAGTATTTGCTTATATTTCAATAAACTCTCCGATGTCCCTTTGCTAGGTAATTTATCTTCAGCGTCTGTCTGTCTCACTCGATTTCTCACGCCTTATTTCTTTCCATTTAAAATAAACTTGGCTCAAATTGGAAAAGTTTTTATCAACTTATTCGGCATATTTTTTTTTATCATTATTATTCTCATATTTATGATTTTTAACAAAAACTTTTGCCTGATATATTATTCGGCCTTTTCGAAAATTTGAGTGAATATCTTTTCATTGCTCTATGAATAAAATTCTTCTGAAAAATGTGTCTCACTCTGGATTTATAGGAATTATTATTATTATTATTATTATTATTAATGTTGTTGTTATTTTAAACATTTGTTACCTACGTTTATTTCATAATCTCATCACAGGTTATAACCAATGAATTCAAGCAAGCAAAGAAGGGCATCTTTATTATTTCTACCTGAACAAACGCCAGTTATCAACCAAGAAAATTAAATGAACAAACCTTTTCGCAAGATATGAGCCGTATGTGTTTAAACTATTCTTTTGGTTTCCACGAGAGATGCTGCACCCGGGATTATTTCTTATTTTTTGTTGACTTTTTCTGGAGTTCCTATTTATCAGGTCCAAATTTCCAACTACAAGAACAGCAGGTTTTTTTATTTATTTGCTTAGATTTTCAAGAACTTTCACAGATATACCTTTCTCACTTCGTGTTAAATAATAGTCTAGCAGACTATTATTTCTTTACACAACTGTATTCCTCCACTGACATCTTCATTTGACCTTCGATGTCAGACACATAGAAACAAAGGAAGTCGTTTTTGATTGGCTAAAAATACCGTGGGAATGTTGGATGTAGAAATGTCTTTCAGTGAGTTGAGTTTTAGAAGTCGATGAATGTAGACGTGTTATATAGTGTCGGGAACTTGCTCGCCAGTGGGGTGGGATAACAGCCCCACTGGCTAGTTAGAAATGTAAATATCGACGTGGTTAATAAAATAATAGTTAAGCCAAAATTTCCTTGTTGAAATTCTTTCTTTTATCTCCGAAGTAAAAACTAACTAGCGATAACCGGCTGTGAGAAGAAGAAAATGTCAATATGAGTGAATTGATATCGTCGCCCAAGGACCAACCGCCACCAAAGGACTATGCAGCATATACTCAAATTAGTGCCGTGACCAAGAGAACCCCAAACCAAGGGCCGTACAACATTGGTACGCTCATGTCAAGCAAATATATTTTTTTCTTTTCTCTCTGCGATAATTATGTTTGGGTGTTGAGAGAAAATCCTCTATCTAGAGCCAGAATTTTAGGTTTTAGAAACTGTTACGGTAATTTACCCACACACGCATGGACTCTCTCACCTATAAATAGGAGCAGGTACTGCCTTTTAAGAGTACTGTCAGCTCTGACAGTCGGGCCGTACATTCTTGTTGTTAACACTGTTGTTTGTATATGTTTGCATTACCGTTTCTGTTAATATATTTGCTTAACTCAATTCGTCTGTTCATGTCTTTATTTCTGGCCCAAAGAAGGTCACAACAAATACCCGATCCATGTTGATATCCGAAGCAAACATATTAGTAATGAATGGACTATCGTAAGTTATAATTAGCTAAAATTATTCTCTATTATTTCTCTAGTATTTTAGTTTTCAATTTCAGGACTTGTATTATCTACCAGTTCGCCCACATCGCAACTGTATGTGACACAAGACGAGTTTTAAACAGGGCTCTATCGGCTGCAGCGCACAAAAATCCCTAGCCCCCCTCAACACTTCCCATTTGGTAACGCCTTAGGCGTCGGACAATAAACCTAGACCCTGCCTCCTGAGGGAGAGGTACTGCTTGAGAAGAAAGCCACCTATACCTTGGGCATACCAATCACAACCACGGTCAGGACTGGTTTAGCATCCAGTTGTATCAAGTGCTATTTATATGAGATTTGATTATTAATACAACACCTGTCATAGAAACTACATATTTTCGTACTGGGTATGACGATAAACTACATCCGGCAGAAAAGTATCTTACCGAGAGGTTTTGAGGTGCGTGGTACCACATATTAATTACTGTTGTTCCCAGGTCTACACTGACCTGGGGTGGTAGCACCTGTTAGGGTCCCAAGTAAACTCCGAAATTGTGCTCAAACCATTATAAAAGTATAACCAGCCTTTTCTTCTTGGATATGACGATAAATTGCACCCGCGTCCTGGGTAAGACGATAAATTACACCCTGCAGCAAGGACTCTGATCTGGTTTTGAGGATCATGGGACCACTTCTTAATTGCTGCTGCTCTCAGGCCCACTCTGAACCGTAGTGGTAGCAACTGTTAAGATCCCACCTATGGGCAAATAGTTATCCCTCAAACTGGGGTCAAAATAATATGAAACTGTAAAAAAAGATTTGAATACCAGCAATATTTTTTTGTAAAATGTATTACCAGCAATGCATTTTTTTAAATATTACCAGCAATACAATTTTGAAGAAAAAAATATTATCAGCAATAAAATCCTTGTAGGTATTAAGTAATCCATTGAGATTGATATAGTAAAACAAACCAAACCAAACCAAGTGAAACCAAACCAAACCAAACCAAACCAAACCAAACCAAACCAAACCAATACATTTTCATTGAAACAAAATTCACAGCAATATTTTTATGTAAAAAAATGGAAAAACATTACAAACATATTTTTTGTAAAAGAAATTACGAATACTCTGTAGAAAATTAAATTTCCCCATTTCCAAAAAAAAACAGACGACGGATAACACAGAACAGACTGTGTATCTGAAACACTAGCTGAATGTGGAAAAGTCATGTAGAGAACACTATTTATATTATTCGGACTATTGTCCTCATCTTTTGCGCCATGTTTATCACAACATTTCGTCCGTTGTACGCTCCGGCCTTCTTCAGGTGGTTCAAACTGAACCCTTTATTTCGCTCACTGGTGTAGACTCTTCTAGTTCCACCTGACATATCTAATGGATGGCAGTTATCTCCTGTTAATTTTCATCTCCATGTTCTCCAACTCCGCCTTTACCGGGTATTGAACAATCACACTTTGGGTCTTGTCACTGGATCTAACCAACGGCTTTATCCACTGCGCGTTTACTTGAGTACATCTGTCTATGAATTTCTGGGTATTATAAACCTAATATCTTCAGCAACCGATTTTTCCCAGTGCTCATATTGCAATTTTTGCTGTTATTATTTATGTTTTTTCCTTGAGCTCATATTGCAATTTTTGTTGTTATTATCGCTTTTTCTCTGTTACTCCTTATTACTGGTCCCCATAGTGTATTAAATTAATGTTTTGTCCGTTCAGGAGAATTTTATGGCCAAGCGTATGTGCTGTTTCCTTAAAATTATGAATTTTCCAATGATGTTCTTTGATATGATCTCAACCTGATCCTACAGAGGGCGGTGATCTCCCTTCTCTCTCCATATGTGGTCAGCCATGCCTGATTTTTCCCCTTCCCCTCGTGTTACAGCTTTCTAGTGTTCTTGAAGCCTTACCTTAAGGGGGCGGCCTGTCTCCCCTTTATATTTCTTTCTGAAGCTGCACGGGATAGAGTAAAAACAGCCATATATAGAAATAAAGCATGTTCGCCCTACACTTAGGATTCGACGCATATATTCTGGTTAGAGGAAATACAAATTTAAACTAAATTAACCAGTCTGTAGCTTCCCACTTTTGGTAACTTAGAAAATCAGACATTGCCATAAAATTTGGACGCATCTCTTTTTGGTTCTATCTTCCAATCTTCAGTGAAACTTCTCGCTACTGCACGTACCTACGCCGATATGAATCTCAAGCAGCCATTGCAGTTGGTTATGTGTTCATTCATGTATGTATTGCTTGTGTTGTTTTAGGAGAAAGGCTGAACGTTAAATTCATTGAACATGGCAAAAGGTGCATTAAAACGAGATGAAAGTAAATATATATAAAGGTATTGTATATACAATATGTTTCATCTTCTACTTTTTTACTGTATTTATATGATTTGTTCTCCTGGAATTGTCCTGAGTCGCCATAATTATCGATTCAACTTCAATCGTGTCCATGTTGTTTCATCCGTATTTCTTTTTATCTTATGTAATGTCCCTCTAGTCGTTTTCTTCAGTTTTCTTTTTTCGTTTTCTGCACCGACATTTGTCAGTTTTACTGCAGTTTTTTTTTGTTTTTTTTTCTTTCTTCCGGACTGTCATAATTAATCTTTTATGAAATGGCCTTGTGTTGTTCACAACTCTCTTGATAGCGCAGTTGACGCAATTTTCAAAGGTGACGAGTTCACTTCCGCCCTTCTTCCTTTGCATATACAGTCGATCGATATCATCTCTCGGGGACAATTATTATTATTATTATTACTATTATCATTATTATTATTATTAGTAGTAGTAGTAGTAGTAGTAGTAGTAAATAGTTTTGTCCATTTTCTTTTTTTCGTTTTTTTTTTTTTTTTTTTTTTTTTTTCTCGCCCGGATTATCTTTTTCTCTTCACTTTCATTCCCTTTCTGTTGTCGATCAAATTATTCTTATTCTTTGAAGATGATAGATATTTTATGGATTTTTATTTTCTTTTCAATTTTTCTCGTTTATCGAAATCCCTTTCATTTACTCCTTCTTTGTTGTGCTAATGTTTCGTTTGTTCCCTCTCTTCTTTCTTTTCTTTTTTTTTCCTTTTTGTTTTATTTATCTACACACCTCTCTACTTTCATCGCTTTCTTCTTTTTATTCATCCTCGTCTTTCATTATTTCTTTCGTCCATATTTTGTTCCTTCTTCTTTCAATATTTATTTATTTCTCTTTCATCCAGTTTCTCTTTCTTTTTAATATTTTTTGCTAGTCTTTCTTTCTTTTATCCTTACCTCTTTCCCCGTCTGCTAATCCTTTTTCATTATATTTATTTTCCTTCCTTCCTCCCTTCCTTCCTCCCTTCCTTCACCCCTCCCTTTCATTCTTTCTTTCTTTCTTTCTTTCTTTCTTTTTTCTTTCTTCCTTCCTTCCTTTCTTTTCTTTTCTTTCTTTCTTACTTTCTTTCTTTCGTCTACATTTTGTTTTGTCTTCTCATTCTTCTTTTTCTTCTTTCTTTTTCTCTCTCTCATTTCTCCCCTTACTATTTCTTCTTCCGCTTCTTCTTTTATTCCTCTTCTTCTTTTATTCTTCTTCTTTATTTTCCCTCTTTACCCTCTCTGCTAATCATTTTTCTCCATTAATGATTTATTCTTCCTCTTTCTTTCGTCATTCTCCGTCTCACATTTTGCTAATTCGTTTTTCTCTTTCGCTTTTTTCTTCCTCTATTTCTTCTTCGTCATCTTCTTGTTCTTCTTCTTCTTCTTCGTCTTCTTCTCCTCCTCCTCCTTATTATTATTATTATTATTATTCGTCGTCGTGGTACGAATAGTTTTTTGTTTTCTACTTTTGGAGCGTGTCATCTTTTTTTTCTTCGAAATCGAAAATAAGTCTTTAAAAAATAACTTAACATATTTGTCCAGTGAAAACAAAAAAAAAATACCCGCATGTATTTGTTGAGAAAGTCTGAGGGAGGAAATAAATAAAAAAAATATTTTTCTTCGCCTTAAAGGCAAAATTCCTCCGAAGTTGACATTGGATATTTCAGCTCGACTGGAAAACAAATATTCGCGAAATTGCAACAAGCCATTTCGGTTTGAGAGAAATAAAAAGACAATTGATCAAATCTGTCCAAAGTTTACAATGGAGAAAAAGCAATGATTGGAAGACAATCAGGTTTTGAATAAATGGAATAGAATGCAAGAACATTTTAGCTGGTTGTGCAGGGGGGGGAGAATCAAACAAAAGTGGAAAACCAGGGGGGGAAGGGGGCAGCATTAAAAAGATAAACCATAAAACGAGTTACCAAAACCAAAAGACTTAAGAACGGGTAGGTGTGAAAATGGAGGAATGTAACGGTTCAAAATAGGGACATGACTGATTGTTGATTGACTTGTTTTTTACAGTTTATCGACCTTTTTGTTGGTTATATATATTTTGTAATGAAATAATATATATATATATATATATATATATATATAGTTAGACCTAGAGAGCCAGACAAACCTACCAAGGTTTCACCTTAGCGGATCGTCAAGGAAATCTGGCTAAAAAGGTAAAAACGAACAGAATACTTATAGTCAATACACAAAAAACTTAACCACGTGACCAACTAAAAAAAATACAAGGGGGAGGGTAGGGGAGAACCATTTATTCAAAATTTATTCATTTTTTTTTTTACTTTTTAGACAGACTTCCCTGACGATCCGCGTAGGTGAAACCTTGGTAGGTTTGTCTGGCTCTCTAGGTTTAACTACGTCTGCTTTACTTACTGTACTGAGCACTTTATTTAGTTATTTTGCTTACTCGTATCGGTTTTTTTTTTTTTGGGCCTTGGACTTGCATCCTTTGCAACGATTATTTTCGGCTGACGTACATGTTCTTGGTTCTTTCTTTTTTTTATAACTTTTTTATATATTTGGTATTGGTTTGATTATTTGCAAATCACGGCACCGAAGGTTTTCCGAACGAGTATAATTTCTTATACTTATAAGACTACTACTACTACTAATATATATATATATATATATATATATATATATATATATATATATATATATTATATATTGATCTTTTTTGTGTGTGTGTAAATTTGAACTTAAAATTTTTTTCCATATACAAGACCCACAATTTAACCCATAGCGGGGTGAAATATATAGATTCCTATCCTTCTGAAGAGTATTTGCGTGTAGGTGGATGCAACGTATCTGATAGGAATTCGAACTCCTCTAGCCGAGTCCTCATTTTGAGCCGCTATCTCTTACACCCACCGCACACCCTTATACAACGGAGCCGGGGAGAGAGATTAAAAGTGTGAAAGAACACAGTTGCAATGTTTCGAAATAAGATTGAAACAACAGAACACGGTTTTTTTCCGGTGGGCGATTAAGACTGTTGGATGGGGGATGAACAAAAGTGAACGGAAAATGGTAGCCCATTGGTATACGATATACGATTTTGAGGCTGACGGTGTTTCAACATAATCTACAAAAAATATACAATGTAGACATGCAAAGAACCTATGTAAAAAAAAACAAACAGGTGGCTGAATATGGATAATTGTGTTATACGCCTAGATGACATATAAATATTTCTTAAAACAGAGAATATTATGGTATTTAATGTAGTTTCGAGAAGAGTCATTAACATTCAAATACACTGCGTGCCAAATTATTATCGAGATAACTTTTTTTCTAATATTTAAAAAACCGTCAAATCAATTTGAAAATCAAAAATTTTCACCCAATGTTGGCAACAGAGATCTGCGCAATCACTGAATTTTTCTTACTGATCTGCGCAATGTAAACAAACTGGCGCCATATTTGTTATCAGCACGGTTATTTGATGGTGCCAAAATATTTAGTAAAATTCCTTGAATTGAGTAAACAAAACGTTTATTAATGTTGCACGTGAATTTTTAGGACCAAAAAAGCTAATAAATAAGATAATCAAACAAATAATAACAGATACAAACAAAGGCACAGTTTTAAACAAATTAATAGGGAATGTGCTTTCCCTGTTTTGAAATTACTTGAAGAAGTGGACGATCCATAGAATTTGTTAATTGTAGGATGTCATCTGCTGTAATGCCGCGAGATATGTCAAGAATTGCTTCCCACAACTCAGCGTTGCTCCTGAATTGTCGTCCGTTGGCGTACAGTCTTCGCTTCATGATGCTCCAAAGGTTTTCGATTGAGGTCAAATCCAAACGATTTGCTGGCCACTTCATTTTTCGAGGTCCATCGAAGCCTAACTGTTTCAAATATTAAGTAGTCTTGTGAGCAGCATGTGAGGGAGTATTATCTTGCATAAAATCAATGGCCCTTCTGAAGGCAACTCTTTGCCTTTTCATCCACGGTTCAAGATGCTCCTTCATAAACGTTATGTATACATCAGTAGTCATTTTTTTTACCTTGAGCAGATCAGTACGAAAATTTCAGTGTTTGAGCAGGTCAGTGTTGCCAACATTGTGTGAAAATTTTGTGTGAATTGATTCGATGGTTTTGAAATATTAAAAGAAAAGATAATAATTTGGCACGCAGTCTACATATAAATCAAGGAAGATCAAGTACAACAGAAAATATTCGCTGCATTTTTATTAGTGTATATACTTTTTAATTTTATAATTATGAACAAAAAGATTTTTTGACAAAACTTGCAACCGTAATCATAAAACCGAATTATATGTATAGTTTTCAATCGTCAGTTTTACTTTTGTGTGTTCTTTAATACAGTATCAGATTTATTTGGTATCTCCCTTCGGTAGTTTTCACTACACGATGAAATCAGTTTATGAACCAGTAACAAACTTGTACCAAACAATTCTGGTATGCTTTTTAAAAGTTACTATTCATGGGACGAGGACGCAAAAAAAAATCGCAGCGAATTGAATGAAGAATGCAAAAGAAAAAAGTAGAGAAACAACACTGAAAAACTCGAGCTAGAAAAACAGCGAACGCGGAGTGAGCAAAAGGGAAACAAAAAATATCGCCTATGAGAAAATATATTTAATAAAAATTATTGCATTGAGGATTGATTAGGTTTTTACGGTTTATCAACCATTTGAATGTTATTTAAAGCCAGAAAATAAGTTTAGATTGTAAGAATTTTTGTAGTGGGATCGGGAGATAATAATGGTTTACTTACAAATTAAACCCTAGCGGGGGGCGGTTAGAAGAGATGAATTCAATTTATTTGCTTTTGCAGATATAATATAACGAACCCAACTGGAATTGGGACTCTATTCTCCAGTTAAAAATTCCAAGCAATTATCCATTGCTCGATCCGGACAACCAAGCTTACAACAACTGGTATTGCCACGTGGTCATTCAACTAGTTACTGACCATCCTCGACGTTGCTTAACTTCAACGTAATATTCTGAAATAACGAGAGTTAAAAAGAAAGAACGATTGCAGTTAAAATAATCGCAATCAAAAGAAAAATAAAAAAATTAGGCGTATCAGAAAAATAAATTCATAAAAATGGTTTGGAAGAAACGAAGAAAACAATGAAACGGAAACAAGAAAGGAAAAAGAATTATGAAGGAAAAAAAAAACATTTGTCAGGAGAAATTCCAAAAGAGAAAAAGACATGAAGAACGACCCCCAAAAAAGGCATGCATCCTGTGAATAGAAATATTATTTAATTCTATGGCCGTTTGCCAAAATTCGGTTTTATTATTCCTGAACAGAAGATGCAGACACCAGATAAATATTTTGAAATCATGTCCTTCAGAATTCTGAGTCGTCAAAGAAATTCCATTTCTATGAACTGTTAACTCTTATGAATTAATAGTACAGCTTAATATGGTTTTCACACCCAACACACATATATCCGAGTGTGAAAACAAAGGTAAATTATCAACCGGGCAGGTTAGTATTGTTTACAACTTCCCAAGCACCCAATATCTCTTCTGTCTCTGTCTCTCACACACGCAGACACACACACGCACACCACCGCATGGAGGGTACTTCAAGAACAGCTGCTGTGTCCGTATCATTTACAACATGTTCAGGATCTTTCACGCTCTGATCAGTCAGCAAGGGAAAACCATTGCCGATGGTTTATTACACAAATAGCCGATCCGTTGTTTAACTCTTGAGGCTTGTTTATGGATGTGGCAACATCGAAGAGATGGAATCACAAATTTACACAGCCAAACATTTGTGGGTGGATCGGAATCCCCATGATACAATACAGTCTAGATATCAGCATCAGTTTACGACTAATGTGACACTGTCTGGTTGGTCCATATGTTCTCCCATAATTCCCAAATGAGCTGTCTACAAGTGCTTTATTTCGAAAACACCTCCAAACCTGCTAGAGGATGCAACCCTGCTAATAAGAAGTCGAGTGTGGCTGATGCATGATCGGACCCCAGAAGGTTTCTGTCACAATCTCCGTGATGAACTGACTGATATCTACCATGTAAAAAAGGATAGGTAGGGGAGTACAGGTAACCTAAACTGCACCTCCCACCGAACTCAATTTTTTTGGAATTTCATCTGTGACGGGTGCATACGTGTGTAGAAGCAAGTGGAAGAGAATTTGAACATTTGTTATGAGTTGCTGTGTTGAGGTACATGACTTTGTATGTGTCCTAGAAACTTCCACTGATCCGATTTCAATGACTCATAGCTCATTCAGAAGCCCTAGAAAAGTTAGGCGCTAGGAACGATTTTCGTTGAGCTCAGATTCAGGGTTGCCAGATTATGCGAAGTTAAAAATATATATTAATATATTATACTAGCCATTATCATTCCTTTCATGGTTCAAGGGGAGTAACTTTTATTTTACTTTTTTCATCCAAAATTGCAGTGCACGTTTTATTA